TTTCTTCTAGAATTTTTCATAAGAGTCGATCATTACAGTATTTAGTATTTCCATCTATGGTAAAAACCCTGACTGTAGTAGTTGTCAAAAAGAAGAGTGGAAAGCTTAGACTATGTGTGGATTATAGAAGATTAAACGAAGTTACAGAACAAGATGAATACCCACTACCACTAATAAATGACATATTTGACACAATGTTGGGAGCTAAGTACTTCACCACCTTAGATTGTATGAGTGGATATTGGCAGATGAAAGTGGCAAAGAAAGATCAATCCAAAACTGCCTATATTACAGAGGATGGGCTATATGAATTCACAGTAATGCCATTTGGTCTAAGTAATGCACCAGCATCATTTCAAAGAATGATGGATAGAGAGTGTTTAAAGATTATAAAGGAAAATTCGTAAACATATATTTAGATGACATCACTATATATTCACAGACATTTGAAGAGCACTTACAACACTTACAGCAAGTCTTTGACAGACTGAGAGAGGTAGACCTGAAGCTAGGAAGAGACAAGTGTGAATTTGCAAAAGAAGAACTGCACCTGTTAGGCCACATAATTGGAAGAGAAGGAAGAAAACCAGATCCGGCAAAAGTAGAAGCGGTACAAAATTGGCCAACACCAAAGACTGTGAAAGATGTATGATCATTCTTAGGATTAGCATCATACTACCGAAAATTTATACCAAACTTCTCAAAAGAAGCTGGACCAATGTTCCACCTAATTCACAAAGATACGGAATTCAAATGGGATGAAGATTGTGAAAAAGCATTTCAAAAGCTGAAGAAGCTATTGACGAGTTCACCAATCTTAAGACATCCAAAATTCAACAAACCGTTTATACTTTACACAGATGGTTCCTCATTCGGTTTAGGAGCTGTCTTAGCACAAAAAGATGAAGATGGAAAGGAGGGAGTTATTGCTTATGCCAGTAAAACAATTGTAGGAGCACAAGAAAGATACTCAGCGACAGAGTTAGAATTATTAGCTGTCAAATGGGCAGTAGGACAATTTCATGTATATTTGCTTGGAAAACCTTTTACCATAATCACGGATCATCAACCACTTAAATATCAGTTCAGCAACCTTCAGTTAAATACACGAATGCAAAAATGGTTAATACATCTACAACAATATGACTTCAAAATTGAATATAGTCCAGGAAGTGCACAGAAGCATGTCGATCACCTTTCAAGACCAACAGGTCTATAAATTATATAATTAATTAAGAGAGTCCTTAAAGTAAAACCAATTAGCACAAATGGACATTCAATTATATGAAGCAATTCAACACTACCTTATTAACCATAAATTACCAACTCATACACCAAATGATATCAAGCAATTAGCATTAAGAAAAATACATGAAAAATAATCAATTATATTGGAGAAAAGAAGGCATAGAGCAAAAAGTAGTGCAATGGCATGAAATGGAAGAAATATTATTTAATTTACATGGAAGTCAATTAGGGGGACACTTCAACACGGAAGCAACCTTC